AATATATCTTTGTTCCATTTTATGTCAAGTATCGTACTATAGGAATTGAAATTTGACATTGTTGTTTAAGCAATTTTTCGAATGTCTGTTTTTAGAACTTACAAAAGGCTTTAGTGAAATCTAACTTGAAAGTATTCACAGAATAAATACATATCAATTTGAAATGTTCTAATACGACCTTTGAACATTCTAGCATGATAATGTCTAGATATCAATTATCACTTTGTTGTATTGTAAATGTGGATTAGAATAATTTGTTTCTGTTTGTATTCTGTACATTTTGTACGTGGGCAGTGAAAATTGAAGTTTGTAACGGAAGCGTTTAAAGGAATTCGTCGTTCCTTTAAACATTGAACTTGTTTCGTTAAAGCTGTTATCCTGAATGTTTCTTGTTCGGCGATCATTCACAACACTGTCATAAATATTCGCTGCGATTGCAGCAGCGAACGTCTTGCTTCTTTGAACGAAGACAATCCTCGTACCCATGCACTACTCTTCATAATTCTGTTTTGGTTGTCCGAGTGTATAATATTTTGCACCAGACACTGCTGCTTCCTTTGACTTTCATTTTCGAGTAATATATTGGTGTTCGTTTTCTTACATATGCATCGTGATGCGCTTGGATTATCTGGCTACCCTGTGAAATCTCTCTGAACATCAATGTTTTAAGGATTCTTATAAATCGAACACATTATTACCACTGCAAAGTATAACGAACTCTATCCTGTTTTACAATGCTCGATTAAATACTCAAATTCTCTACATTTTTTTCTGTATTTCTCATTATGTTTAAAATTTTTAATTTAAAACAACGATCTGTGGCTGAACATTATCATTTTAATAAATTACAAGTACACATAATCTACAATGTTTTATAGATTGTTAAATTAATATATGGTGAAAAGTAAGTACGATAAAAAGAACAAAGAAAAGGTAAAAGACATCCTCTTTAATTAAGTTTCAATACTTGTTTGCAGAATCTTAAGATATTTAACCTCGAAAAACTACTACTAAGTGTGTATTTTACATGTTGCACTTTAATAGGCTGTCTTACCATTCGACATAAAACTAAACATGTATATATTAACAATGTATTTATAATAATTCTTCAATATCTGTTCTAAAGTATTCTTAAATATTCTTCAATCCGAAAATGGTACCACAAAATGATTCTACATAAATACAGAGAGAATTAACAGGCAAAGCTAAATTCCGTGTGTGTTGATTGCCCCGAGTACACTTTATTCCTCGAAAAAACTCTCTTTTGCTAGTTCAAAAGATCCGAAACTCTAAAAGTATCCAAATTCAAGACTTTAAGGAATAAAGCATATTCGAGAGGTGTACCAGCGACCAAAGATCGCGGTAACGGAAGATCTCCAATGATCTCTGTAATCGGCCAGTAAGTGCACGCTAAGACCGGTCTGTTTTTTTGCTAATTGTAGGTTAATCTCCGTGGAGGAGGAGCTGCGTCGCGAGCAACAGAAGATGTCGGCCGCGTTGTCGTACAAGCAGCGCGTGATCGACGCGCAGGAACAGCAAATAGCCGCCCTGGACGCCGCGAATTCGCGTCTGATGACGTCAAACACAAGACTGTTGTCCGCATTGAGCACGCTGAAGCAACGGTACAACACAAAGACCCAGTCGAACAGTGAAGCAGCCGCGTTGCTGCAGAACATCGCCGACATCAGCGAGCTGAAGAGTTCGTCCTGTTGAGGACTCGGTTGTCCTGGCTGTGGGACTGCCGAACACCCGGTGAACGCGTAACGAAAATAAAATTAATGAAAAGCCACTGGTAAAAACAAAAGCTTTCATCGAGAATTCTCTTTCTTCGAGAGGAAAGGATCGATCAGACTCCAAGCAATGATCACTAGCGAAACTAACGGGATGATCTTCAATTTCCGAAAAACGGTGTTTTTTTAGTCGAGAACTCTGTATGTTCCTTCCTCTCGAACCACTCAGAGAGTTCGTCGACGAAACAAATTAAAAAATTTTCCGTACACGTCGGGATCCTCTTCAAGCGCTAGGTTTCACGAACCTAGGTGAAGAGAGGGGATCCCGAACGCTGCGAGTGAGGAGAGAAAGAGGAGAGAGTGAGAGTGAGAGAGTATGCAAGAGAACACGAGACGTGCGAAAATAGAGGCTACCTAGTAAATAGGCAAACGGTTTAAGTAGATTAATTTACGCCGGAACACTTCACGTGACATAGCGTTTAGGATGATTTGTACCTAAACTGTTTAAACGATTGGGAACCGCGGAGCCATCGCGGAAACGCGATCCGCCTCGCGTTCAGTGACTTTCCATCGTTCGACGCGAACGAGCTGGAAAGTCCACGGTCTCTCCCTTCGTTTGATCGTGGAAAATTCGGAGGATCGAGGATAGAGGCCAAGATCGAATAAAAAGCGATGCGTCTTCGATTTTCCTTTTTTACTTTGTTCGTTCATTTTTAGAATATGTACCTTGACGCACAGCCGCATGCACCGTAACCGTCTAGAGTATATACGAAGAAGTTACACTTATGTATCGTATCGGCGTTCGTCGCACCGTAATGGCGTCCTCAAGCACCGTACTTTGGGACACCTTGTGTATATGTGTGTATATTTCCCCTTAGTTCCCCATTTTTTAAGCGCTGCCCGAGCACCGTGGACGCGACCACATTTTGGACCCGTTAGCTTTTTTTAACGCGACTTACGGTGATCCCTCGATCGTTTCCTGTCAAGGTGGACGATCGACGATTCCGAATCGAGGAAAACGTTTGACGCGCGCCCGCGCCTGAAATTCTTACTTTAAGCGACGATATTTATTTAGTAGTTTCTACCAAAGATGAAGAGTTTTTTCATTGTAAAAAGAAAGAAGAAGAAAGAGAGAGAAAGAGAAAGAGAAAGAGAAAGAGA